GTGCTATTAGTAATTATGTTAATTAAAGACACTTAATTGTGTCATTTAACACTTAAAGTGGCCAAATATTAGTCACTAGGTCAGATCTATCTGACACTGAAATTTAAGAAATGTAATATTTTTGTTTGCAACCAAATTTCCTTTAGTAAAAGAATTTAGTTACTTATAAATGGGATAAACTATGGATAAACGTCTTTCGCACGGATTCCGCACACGTTCGAGTATGTTTTCATTAAATTGAGGAAATATTAAAAAAAGCTGAAGGAGCACCACATACGTTACTTCCACTTAAAAGTGAATCCATTTACCAAAAGAAATATAAAAAAAATGGCGCCGGGAGGCACGTATAGCCGCCCATACTAAAATATGTTAATAAAAAGTTGGTAGGCAGTTCTTTTAGTTTCAAAGTAGAGGAATTTTTCCAATTTTTAGCCGACCATACCAACAGGTATGGTAGGCTATTAAGATCTGCAATAAAAGGTTTTTTTAATTTCACTCAAAAGGAGTTATTTGGGTCATAAATGATCTAAATACAAAATATTTTGATGGTGTCTGTCTGTCTGTCTGTCCGTCTGTAACACGATAACTCAAAAACCGCTAAACCGATTTTAACCAAATTTGGCACAAAAATACTGTGGCACCCGGGAATCTGGCTATTAGTTTTCGGTGGGGGTGGGGGGTTGGTAAGGGGGTATGGGAGGGGGTTAAAAATTTTTAAAAATCTTCAAAATTACAGTAGCTAGCGAAACGCGGTTTTAAATTTAAGATTAAGAAAAATATTTGCAACAAAATTTGTAATAAAATGAAAATCAAAGTCGCAGTTTTTGAGATAAAAAAAAATTGGAAAAATTCCTTTACTGTGAAACTAAAAGAACTGTCTACCAACTTATTATTAACATATTTTAGTATGGGCGGCTATACGTGTCTCCCGGCGCCATTTTTTTTATCTCAAAAACTGCAACTTTGACTGATTTTGATGTTATTACAAATTTTGTTGCAAATATTATTCCTAATCTTAGGGAATCGAACACATATCAACCCAAATCTAGACTTGGGTTGATATGTTTCAAAAGTCCCCGAAGACAGATGATGAGCTCGAGGAGTAATGGGGAGGAGTTAAATGTCATTTTTTTCAGTTTTTTGCTTATATCTCGGAAACTATGACATCTACCGAAAAATACTCTATATAGAAAAATAAAGCTGATAAAATCCTCTATAAAAATGATTCTATACCTTTTTGTTCCCGGACTTATGGTTTCCGAACTATGCCCTTCATAAATTTGGATACTAAATCAAATAGCATATTCCAAATCCGTACACATTTCCTTTCATTGCACATTTCCTTTCATTGCACGTTTTTCATTGAAATAGTATTGAAGAAGTACGATATCATGATTTTTTATATATTATGTATTACTTTTAGTATATACTGTGATTTTATAAATTTTAGACGTGATGCGTTCACATAAATTACTCCTTGACTGCGCAAGTTATTTGTTAACAGGGATGTATTTTTTCGTATGTGTCATATTTTCTGAGATATAAGCTAAAAAGAGTCATAAAAGTGACATTTCTCCCCTCTCCTCGAGCTCATCGTCCATCTTCGGGAACTTTTGACACAAATCAGCCAAGTCTAGAGGAATCATTTAAAACCATTTTCAAAACTGTGGGATTTTTTTCCACCGATTTCTCTAATTTCACTGGGCTATAGGAACTTTTTGTTTTATTTTTATCTGTAGAATCACCCACTGAACAGTATTTCTTTGACACCCTGTATATCTCTTACACGCTACGGTAACTTAATGGCGTATTGTTTGCGATCATACAGAATATCATTTCAACATTTCTCACTGATGTGTAAGGTCTCTTAATAATGCTGTAATTCACGTAACTGCTATTGTCTGTTAATTAAATCAATTGGTGTAATTTTCTAGCACAGGTTATTCGAATTAAACTGACAATATTCCCGCCTAAAATGTAATTTATCTCTCATATACTCTCCCTTAATATCAGGGAAATAAAAATAGATTATATAGCCTAATTATCTTTATGTCTATTAATACCGAGATTAATACTAAGTTTTAAAAAAATCATAGAGAACTACCACTAAGTTTTGATTAATAAAAATTGAAAATTTTTGAAATTTAGTATCTAATAGAGACATTTAAAAAATTGTATAATTAAAAATCACAACATATAAAACTCAGTTTGTTTATTTTAATTCAAGATTTAATTTGTTTACTCGGATCTACCATTAAATTCATATGTATGTAGTTTATTACCAACAACAATATAACAAAAGGAAATCTAAGTGGTGCATGTTGCTTGATGCAATAAACAAGATCTTGTTTGTTGCGATTTAAAGAAACCTAAATCCTAGAATAATAACTATAAACCAGGACTGAAGAACTGCGGCACATAGGTATTTTATATGCTGATTGTGTAAAAGTAGAGATGGGTTGTTATATATTCTTATTTTATTACAGTATCTCATTTTTGAAAGAAGTGCGAAAAATTGAGGAGGTGATTGCTTTTCAAAAAATCCAAAAAAATACGAGTTTTCAAACAAAATGTTTGCCCATGTAAGGTTCCCTACAAAGTAATTTGTATATCCAGGAGTCTTAAATAAGTGCACATATTTTTAAGGGTACTATTATTTAAAAAAAAATTGAAAATTTGGATTTTTTTGAAAATATTTTTAGTTAAAAATCATAATTTGTTGATAATATGGCAACATAGCTAGTAGATTAAATTTACAAGAAATAAAATCCAGAAGAGATGCAGTGGTTCTCAAAATTTTGCAATTTGAACTTTTCAAAGTAAAATAACTCGGTTATTTTGGATTTATTTGAAAAACAGTAAAGAAAAAAAATGTTTCTTTTATCGAGATCTACCAACCCCGAAAATATTTACTCTTACTTAAGACTCCCCTGTATAAGTAACAATAATACGTTTGACGAAAATATCTTTGGATGAAAAATCCGCGTTTATGTATTGAAAATTTATTCTATATGTTTAACATAGAATAAATAACAAAAAGAAAAAATCTTTTATAGGTTCTAAATATGTCGTATGATCGAAAAACGTTGTTTAGTTGGTTTGGATATTACGATTATTGACACTTACGATATTCTGTTACATATATAGATAACCACGATTTTCATTTCCAAGCCAACTCTGACGCCGTTCTTTGCTTAATCATATAATATTATATTTAATTGTTTAATGATAGAAAATCTGTATTATCAACGTACTGTATTCAAAATCCGTAACTCTACGGATTTATCAGTAGTTCTGGCAACACCGTCTTCGGCAACCGCTCACTCTGTCGACTGAAGTATTCTTTATCCGCTGCGCTGTAAATGACTATCAGCGTGCAGTGGCGCAGAGCTAAACTAAATCTCGGATAGACTGACGGTAACGCCAGCTACATCTCGGCCAGGTTTTGTGTCACGAAATCGTCCATAAGATTGCGCATCTTCTTATTTTTTCAATCAACGGCAACACTCCTACTTGTAGATATGGTTCTAGAAAACTCCAATTTGGTTTGTGGATGGCTACTTTGAGTATGTCATATTATTACTATTTATGCCAGATTTGTAGTAAATTTTAAAATGTCGCATATTCCTTTCAAAGAACCAAAAAAATAGTATATTACATACCGAGGAGGGAAGTGTTTCACGAGGTGTTTCATTACTGTCGAACGGTTAACTAAATCTCGAGACAATAATGAAAACTTTCCTTCGAGGTTTGTATACTATTTTATTTACAACCACATCATTAATTAAAAAATAGGAACAGTATTTTATTTTGAAAAAAAAATGCGAAAATTTGTCATTTTCTGTTTTGGCATTTCCATATCTATAGTTACCGGTACCAGTGGTTGTTATGGCGCAAACCTTCAACAGCAAAACAAACAACTAAGTGACAGTTTTGAATTTCGCGTTTTCTCGTTCGCTTTATATAACATAGAAAGCCAGAATGTTGCCTGAAAATTATCTGCTTGCATTCCACTTACAAAAAAAGTCCATATACAGTGAGTCTAAAATATGTATTTTGGCCAAAAAATTAGCTTCTAGAAACACCATAGTGCACTGCAAGAAAATCTACAAAATAAAATGGTTATTTTTTGTAGACACTTCTGCGGTTAATCCAAACGGAAACTACTTGTCAGAAGTTAGGTTTACAGATATACAAAATTTGCCTAAAGAACAAAAAAATGCTTAATGTTTCGGAAAATTTATCTCTTTCCGTCGTCGGAAGCAAAAAAAAATACAAAATTATAATTAAAATCATAATGAAAGAAGGGATATCCTCTAAAAGAAAAATAAAAGAGGCTTTTTTAATACAATCTAATAAAAATAAATGTATTGCTCATGCATCTGTAGATGTTAGTAATGTATGGCAATCGCTTCTTTGATTTTAAAAAACATAACATAAATAAACATAACATACGTAAAAATTAAAAATAATCATACAGAAAGTTTGGGTTTTTTGGTTTTACCTTATTAAGTAATTGTTATTAGGTAGTAATTGTTAATTTTGAAGTTTAATTTGATATAATATCATTTTAGGAGAAAGTCAACGGTTTTTGTAGACGTATCTGTTTGAAAAAACTAAAGTGTTCTCGAATAGTTGAATTTACATACTTTAAATAGTTTTTTTCTTTATTCTTTGATTTTTTTTTGCTTCCGACGACCGACGGAAAGAGATAAACTTTCCGAAACATTAAGCATTTTTTGTTCGTTAGGCAAATTTTGTATATCTGTAAACCTAATTTCTGACAAGTAGTTTCCGTTTGGATCAACGCAGAAGTGTTTACAAAAAATAAATAACTAAATTTTATTTTGTAGATTTTCTTGCAGTGGCGAAATACCCCTATAGGATTTTTTGGAGAGATGAGTCCGCCAAATAGGTAATATCTAGACATTTTTTTTATTTTAGTTGATTTTTATAAAGTAGCCCAGCTCTATAGAGAAGGCGTACTTGATTCGGTAATTCGGTACGATTCCTAATGTCAGTCTCGAGCTGGAACATGAAGTGCGCTATCCTCTATCTCGTTTCGTTGTGTGCAGTGAGCAAAAGCGCGTACTTCGACGAAGAGGAGAACATCCCCAGGTACCATACGGCCGCGGTGGGTGATCACGTGGTGTTCGATTGCGAGATCGACTTTCCCCATGACTATCCCATCCCTTACAAGCTGTCATGGAGAAGAGGGGTGAGTATGTGTAGTATAGGCCAGTAAGCGAGGATAAAAATAGGGTATTACCTCCGAATTCTTGACACCCGCACCGATTGACGTGAAATTTTAACAGTGAATAAAGATATATGTAAGAAACAAAAGTTACATAGTAGCGATGTGTGCTTTCACCCTGTGGGTGAGTGTGACCCCTTCTCGAGGGTGAAAAATAAATCACCCATTTTAATTAGAAAAATCAATAAAGGGATGAATTCTAAGCAAAAAATTTTCTATAACATTTTTTCACAAAATTAATATTTTCCGAGTTATTTAAGATTGAAAATGCTGATTTTTCATCTAAACGCTGCATGTTTTTCTGCCATTTTTATAAATAACTCGAAAACCTTGCCTTTTATCGCAAAACTCATATAAAGAAAAACTGGAGCTTTTGGAATAACGAATCGATTGCCTTTTTGTTGATTACCGTAGGTGTAATAACAGCCCAGTTATCACTCTGTAAAGGTAATTTTTTATTTTTCGAAAACTAAATTGCAACTCTGTTTCCGTAAAATAATGGCGAAAGAACATATTTTTAGAAGAAAATGAATATGAACGTTTTTAAAGTGCTTGAGAAGACCTTTTGCATGCTTTTTTAAAAGGTCTTTTTAAGTTTGTAGCTCAAAAACTCGCGCAGTTATGATAAAAATAAAATGGTCACCTCATTTTTTCGAAAAAAAAACAATACAATATATGACTAAAATCATAAAAATAAAAACTGCAAATTTGTGGGGAAATTACATGAGCTACAAATTAACCTCTATAGTTGAAAAGTCGAAATGCTTCATTTTTTGGGTGTTTTAAGGGCTCAAACAAGGTGGTCCTTACACGCAAGTCACACTAAAAAACGTAATATCTACGAAATAAAGAGATCTACAGAAAAATTGAAAAAGCGCAAAAATATTGCAAAAAGAAGACCTTCAATTTTACTCTGTTGCATTTTTTGCATATCATGCTTAGTTTTTGAGATATGTCAAAATAAATAAATTTTTTTAAAAAATAAAAATTTTCATTATTTTCAACTTTTTTCCAAATTTAGGTATTCTAAACCGCTCAAACTTGCAAAGCCCATTGTTAGTACCTAAATATAGCCAACTGTACATGTATTACGCTTAATTTTTATTTTTATAATTTTGGTCATAGATTTTGTTGTTAATTTTTTTCAGAAAAAATGAGGTGGCCATTTTATTTTTATCATAACTCCGGGATTTTTTGAGTTACGAACTTTTTTAAAAAAGTATTTAAAAGGTCTCACTTTCAAGCACTTTAAAAACGGTAAAATTCATTTTCTTCTAAAAATGTGTTCTTCCGCTATTATTTTACGGTAAAATGTTGCAATTTAGTTTTCGAAAAATAAAAAATCATCTTTACAGAGTGATCACTCCGTTTTTATTATACCTACGATAATCAACAGAAAATGAATCGTTTAGTTATTCCAAAAGATTCATTTCTGCTTTAAACGAGTTTTGCGATAAAACGCAAGGTTTTCGAGTTATTTATAAAAAATGGCAGAAAAATATGCAGTTTTTAAATGAAAAATCAACATTTTCAATCCTAAATAACTAGGAAAATATTAATTTTCTGAAAAAATGTTATAGAACTTTTTTTACTTAGAATTCATCCCTTTATTGATTTTTGCAATTAAAATGGGTGATTTATTTTTCACCTCCGAGAAGTGGTGACGGTCACCCCTAGGGTGAAAGCACACATCGCTACTATGTAACTTTTATTTCTTACATATATCTCTATTCACTGTTAAAATTTCACGTCAATCGGTACCTAAAACCCTCGCTTACTGGCCTAGTAGTATAAAAACTTAATCTTAAAAAAACCTGGTTACTTAGCCACTGAGACACAAATCTAAAAATGAAATAAAATGCCATCAAAAACATAGAATGTAAAAAATGCCCAGTCTCGCAAAATAATTCTTCCACTACAAAAAGTGGTGAGCTCTCATGAACAACCAAGTCAGTTTAGTTTATTTTTTCCATAGCAACTGTTAAAATTGCCTTATATTTATCAAAAGTAGTAGATAAAATAGTACTTTAACCGCAAGGGTAGATTAAATTATACTTTAACAGCGAGGATAGGTCAAAAACTTTATTTCTTCTCGCACGTTTTTTAATTGCTTCCATTTTTGAAAATTTTTGTATCCCTTTTCATAAGTTATTCGGGATGGAAGTAGTTTGGATATGGCGTTTGTCGCCTCAGCCTGAATATCTGTTGGTAATTTACTTATTTCGTTTTGAGCCATTTCTGGCTCCAATTCAATCAGCAATCGACACGAAAAAGAATTAAAAAATATTGACTCAAAACTGACAACCAGAGAATAACTGACAAGTAAAGAGACAGCTTTATTCATTTGTTAAATTACATAGAAACCAACGCCAACCCAGCACAATATTTTTCCACTCGTAATAAATTCCTTCAAATAATAATTTATGAATATTTTTTAAATCGTAACTCGCTATGAAAAAAAAATATTGTTTTATACACGACGATAAAATTGCATTATCGTCTCCCGAAATTAATTTACTCGCGATTTCATCGCTCAAGTAATGGTTTTCGAGATATTTGGAATGGAAATTATCAATGCGTGCCATCATTGACATAAATTAAACATTTTGACTAAATAGTTATTAGACTGAAATCATAAATTTGAAATGTTTTTGTGTCAAAAGTTTAACAGAAACTGTTTTATTATCATTTTTTCGCAGAAAAGTTTATGATTAATTTGAAAAAATAAAAACTTCACAAAATTTTTATACTTTAGTTAAATAACTAACTTCTCAACGTGTTTATTTCTTATCAATAATGACATGTATTGACTATTTCCATTATAAACATCTTGAGAACGGTTGCTTGTAGCGATTTTTACCAAAAAACATTTTTTACGCAAAAGTTACAAAAATGTATATTTTTTCATTTAGCGGTTTCTTTTTGGTTCGTACCTGTAAAGTTATTATTCTTCAAAACAGCTAAAACTATAGACTTAAATTATTTTAAGTCTATGGTTAAAGTTAAAACCCATGTAGGTGGCGCCCCCTACAAATAAGAGTCATTTGACATCAAAATCAAATTTCTCATGTCAAAAAACTCCCAGACACAATTTCTCATCCAAATATTGAGGTTACTAAAGAAATCATTTGAAGAAAATCGAAATAAAAATTAAATTTCTACACCCTGTATCTCCGATACTAAGCATTTTAGGATATACACTTATACAAACGTGTTTACTTATTTTTATCTGGAGAATATGCTGCCGAAGTTTCCGGAATACAGTTCGGACCACTCTGTATACCTACAATTTATCGTTCATCCCCCTATCCCATAAAAATTTCATATTAATTCTCAATAAAGTCATAATATAATATTTCATATTTCTAAACCCAAACGTAACAAAATTGTCGTATAGCTTTTTGCCCTAAAGAGATTACGTTCCAAGAAATTATTTCGAGCGTTTATTGATGTCACGTTAAGAACCCTTCTTATGCAAAATTTCATAATTCTAGAGCAGATGGTAAAGCATTTTCTTACAAAGTTTCATCCCTTATTTTCGTCCCTAAGGGGATGAGATTCCTAAAAGCGCTTTGTTGGACTAACTAATGACAATTAAAAGAACCTTTATGTATAAATGTTTGTACTTATAAAGCCAGCGGTTATGAAGTTTGTATAAAAATAGTTTAAACTCATTTTCTTAGTTTTTAGAATTAAAATGTGTAACGCCCTCTACATGTTAAAATTCTACCTATGGACTGTAATCTCTACACTCATAATTAATCTATCGACGTACTCGCATATATTTATATAATGTAACCTTGTTTCGTGTAAAATGTGATTGTGTTATTTTTTGTGTTAATAAATTATGTAACAAACTCTGTGTTATATAAACTGTCGTCCCAACGTGTGCCCGGGGTTAATAGTGAACCACCCCAATGACTTTTAGTGAACATTTGAACTTTGAAACTTTATGAAGTGATTGTGAACTTTAAAAACAATAAAGACATGTAAGTGAACATTAAACTCGTCGTGTGCAGTGTACAGCACACTGATTGATTAATTGGTGTTCAAAAAGGAAAAACAGTGTTTCAAAGTTTCCATTTCCACATGGCATTCCGTCATTTTCCCGGAATTTTCTAACCACAATCGACATTTTGACAAATTATAGATTCCTATGTGTCAAAAGGGTAATTACAGTTTCCTGTCATTTACTTCTGCTAGTACAGTTTCCTGTACCGACATTTGCAGTTTCCTGTAATTTGCTTCCGCTAGTACAGTTTCCTGTACCGACATTTACAGTTTCCTGTACTGACATTTACAGTTTCCTGTACTGACATTTACAGTTTCCTGTACCGACATTTACAGTTTCCTGTACTGACATTTACAGTTTCCTGTACCGGCATTTACAGTTTCCTGTTCCGACATTTATTATTCGCGGTCACCATTTTGTGAAGAATTCTTTTTCAAGATTCTGGTTTGATGTTTAGTACAGTCGCCTGTACCGACATTACAGTTGCCTGTGTGTCTAAATTAATTGAAGTAAAGTAATTGATGTCCTATAATCTTCGATCTTCCAAAATACGGCTAATCCGGTAGTTTTAACGAACGAACAGCTTAAGCATTGCTTTCTGGAATGAGGGAAATGTTTCGAAGTCCACCTCAAACCACTTCAGTCCAAAGTGCAGCTGCCAATTTTTCCAAATGTGACTCAAGGTTCTCTGGGAAGACTGATGAAGATGTAGAAGCTTTCATTGATGCAATCACCGTTTACAAGGATTGTTTAAACATTTCTGATGAGAATGCTGTTAAAGGCTTACCTATGCTGCTTGATGGCCCAGCTGCGGTGTGGTGGCAAGGTACAAAAACACCAACCATCTTATGGGCAGAAGTTTTGGATGCATTACGTCATGCTTTTGGTTTTAACAAGCCTGCTCATCAGATCTATAGAGATTTGTTCTCTCGAGAGCAAACTGCCAAGGAAC